TATAGTATGTGAAATTTGTAGAAAACATATTAATTAGCATGACAATCCTTGGGGAACGTGGCACTGTCTGTACTGGACATTTCACTTCATAAAGGGACCTTTTTTTGGTCCCAAAACATCCACGTGGGAACCAGTTTAGGGGTGGAAGAGGGGGTGGTGTTCCTGTGACACTGGTCATGGGACTTGATTTGTTTGGTTGGGCATATAGTTAGGCATTCCTTTTCTCTTTCATTTCGTGTAGTTCCTTCCCAAAGCTGAAGGAAATCATCAGAGAAGACTACATATACCAGAAGACCATGCATTGACCATGATTATTGAATAGGATTTGATAGTCCTCCCTTTTGTTGTGTAAATACAGTGCTTTATAGGATGCAGTGGTAGACTACTGTAAAGTTTTATAAAATTAGATATTTATTTGTCCTGTAAGGGTTGGGAACTTCCTGCAGATTATAAACCAGTCTGGGAGGAGGCGTAAGAATGGACCTTGTGGAGGTAAGGGAGAGGTGTCATTGTGCTGATTCATTGTGCTGATTCATTCTCTTGCATAAGTTTGAAAGTAGAGTGAGAAAAGAGAAGACGACATGGTCAAGTGTTTTTCCTGCAGTTCTTACTAAAGTAATATGGAGGCAGTGTGCTGTGATGGGCACCATGGTGCCTCTGTATTTCCTGAATCCCTGCCAGTCTTCACCCTATTCATACTTAGTCAGTCACCAGCTCTGGGTTTTGATGATGTGTAAATTTATGGTTCTTATCATTTTGTTATAGTACTAGAAGAAAAACAGCGTCTTTCACAAAGAAAAAACTTTTTTTGGTGGTACTAGAGATCAAAATCAGGACTCACACATGGTAGGCTTTACTGAACTACATCCCCACCACTCAGGAAAAAACAACAACAACAAAAACCACCCACTGTTTATTGGTTTCTTCTTAAAAATGGTGAAATGCAAGTAGGAAAAGACATGGAAGAAGTAATATGAATTTTGAAACAGCACAAAAGAGGGAAATGGCTTCCAGCTATTGTATTGTCTAAGAACTAGTCCTGGACCAGAACAGTTTTCACCAGTCCCACAGCAAAATGAGAAAACAAGTAGAATGTAGTGAATTTTTTATAGAGCATATTTTATTAATTTAAGAGCTACATTTTCTTCCATTATGATTTTTCCTATTGTAGTGTAATAGAAGGTGAGTTGGATAATATGTCAGCAATAGTAGGTTGAAGTTATATTTTTTTTCTTTATTTGAAAAATAGCAAAATTGGCAACTCTCTTTTGGGATCCCTGGAATGCTTTTTGAAATTTTACTTGGCCACAAAAATCTAGGAACTTGCTCTGTCATTCATCAGTTGTACGGCTTTGAGAAATCACCTCACCTCTTTGCATTTGTTCTTATGTCTGCAAAATGGAAACTTGACTCTAGATTCTATTGATTCCATAAGGTTGTTTTGAAATAAAGAAGGCTATGTAAAATTTGTCATTTTTATACATTACCACTCACCAAAAAAATGGCTAATTCTAAAAACAACTGGCAGAGATTTTAACAAATTTTGTAATCTTTTCTTTTCATTAAATTGATGACCATAATTGGCAGATATAATAAAAGGAAGGAATATAGAGAATAAGACAGACTAGATTAGAATGCTTATTAGTTTAATCACTGGTGTCTTCCTAACGAATAAGGAAATTTATCTTCTAAGAATTCTTGCTTTTTCTTTTTACATTTTTAAGTTGTTTGCTTAAATGGGTAGTTATTGTGTGTTTAAGACAGCTGTTGAGCAGAGGAACATACATCCAGAACGAATACATGATTTTTTAATGCAATTTACATCCTACTATACACTGAGTTTAATACCAGTCAAGTTTCTTTTATGGAGCCCTTTCTTTTAGGGAAATTGATAAAATTAGAAGTTAATTGAACAGCTCCATTTAATAAAGAAGGTACATTTAGTAGAATTTATAACATTGAACTAAAGAGCCGATACTAGGACATTCCAGTGTAAGACTTGCATTAATTATCAGACTTACTAAAAAAACTTTCTTGGAAGTAACCATCATAAACCATGTTGGTGCCATGAACCATTGGTTTGATCCAGTTTGGCATTTCTTTTAAGTTCTTGTCATAGAAGTTTTAATAAAAACATGACTTTTTTCAGTTATTAATAGGTATAATTTTTAGTTGTGCAGATATCCATTTAGGTTGAGTTCAGGGACATAAAACTCTGAGACATCTTCCCTTTATTCTGAAATTATTCTTATCTCTGAAATGAACATATCAAAAAAATAACAGACACAAAGTGAATTGAAGCTTTATGATTAGTAAAAGAAAAAATAGGCTGAAAGACAAGTTATATGAGAACAGAAATGCAAGTCTCACTCTCTCCTTTCAGTATAGTTAAACAGATAGTTTAAGACCCCATGGCTGCCCTATCAGTATTCCAGATGGGCTTTGTGCACTTGGTAGTGCCTCTCTGGAGGTATGAGAGAGTTTGCTGTATACAGTATTCTTATGTCTTTGGATCACAATCTGTACCATTTATTGACCCTGTTCCTGCCATACTTGAGCACCCCAGTCTATGCGTTCGCCTTCCTTATCTCAGTTATCGCGGAAGGCCATATGACCATGGCTTCACATTTGGTCTCTGATCTCCTGACAAGGTGCTAGCTTTCCATAAGAAGGAGTGCTCTATGCTTCACACAGCCTGTGTGAGCTACTGACTGGACATATGAAAAATAATACAGTGTTTATTAACACTTGCTATGGGTCATATATTGTTCACAGTACTTCATATTCATTACTTATTTAGTCCTCACCACATCCCTTTTACAGATGAAAAAAAAGGCACAGAGCTTGAGTCATTTGTCCACACTTAAAAGCCAGAAAATAGTACAGCCAGACCATCTGATTCCATATTCTTAGCTAATCAACTAAAATATGAATGGGTTCTACATACATAGATTTTCCCAAAGTGATTTTTTTTTTGTAGTTAGACTATATCATGTTCCGACCCCGTTCCTGCCACATTTGCTAATTTCCTTTGCCCATAACTTACTGAAAAACTATGGAGAGCTATGTGCTGAGGATATAGTACTGAGGAAGACAGGTAAGATGTCTGTTCTCAGGCAGCTTATATGTTGGGGGAAGAAAATGGGCAGGATGAGACAGATATTTTTAAAATTAATAAATAAATGGAAAAGACCATTTCAAATACTGGTTAAATGAAGCAGGTATTAAAGGGTGACTGCTGAAGGTTACAAAGGTTAGCTAGTCTGGAAAAACCCACTGAAAGAGCTCTGTGCATTAGCTGATGCCATCAATAAGAAAATCTGGGACAGACGATTCCAAGCAGGAAAAAGCGCAAGCACAAGGCCCTGCAATGAGGCATTTGAGATGTACAGGCCACAGAAGGAAGAGCAGAATGGTGAGAGGGAGGTGAGCTGGGGCGCTGTGCACAGTGAGGACAGAGGCAGGTGGGATGCAGGTCGTGTGGGGCTGAGGGTG